AGATCCTTCTTATGCACTGATCTTCAAAGTCTTATGGAGATACTCACAAGCCACTGAAGTAAGAAAACTGTTCCTGTGATTTGAGCATGTTTTGGCAAAGTTAAAAAAATGTATATATTAAACTTCTTAAAATTTTCCCAAGCTAGAGTTCAGCAATTAAAGAACAAAAAATTAAAAATAGGGTGCTTGATCATTTCCAGGATCTGCTGTAAGTGGGTTTTCCCTAAGAGAAACAGCATGAGAACTGGCACTTGGAGCCACAGTGGAACGAGCAGGATGCCACAGTATGACATGCTAATAATTCAAGAACACACACTGTCACTTTTCGTGCTTATCTTTGAAGAAGAATCCTCTATCAGATCTTCTGTTTTTCTGTTCTGACCTCTATCTGGCAAACCCAAGAAGATTTGGAGAAGCTGGAAATGAAGATGAGTTTTGTGGACCGGCACTTAAACGCATGGTGGTTAATGTGCTCAGCGTCCACTTGCAGAGCCATTCTGGCCCCCACACTGCAAACAGTCTATTTCTACAACACTCGAAATTTTTGATTCAACTTCAGTTCAGCTTTTGCCAAAGTAGACATACTAAGGACTTCAAGATTTTTAGACTGGTCTTTAAAAGCCTACTAAATATCAGAACAAGGTAGCTCTGTATTTTAATCTCCTACTGGTATACAAAGAAACTTGAGTTCCATTTTATGGCAACCTTTTTTTCTTTAATCTGAAGAATTTGCCTGTTTTTTTAAACAATGATCATGTCTTATTCTTTCATTTAAGGAAGAAGCAGATCCTAAAAGCTTAGTGTCCCTTGGCGTCCTTAATCCTCTTCTGAAAATTTCTTTAAGTAGTAGCTGAGAGACAACACAGCACATTTTGATATAGATTAGAGATTTCTGCCAATGAAAGATGGCACCGTAGTGCCAAGCCATGATCTCATCTCTTCTGTCACACACCAATCGACATTACTGATATTTTATAAGTCCTCAGCGTCTCAAGTGAAGGGGATACGTTCATGACTGTAATAAAGAGCATTCATCCTACATAGACTTTCCCTGAAAGAGCTGGGATGAAGGAGAATAAAGAGAATTCTCTCTCACATACCAATCTGAACCATCTGAGCAATGTAATTTCTAGTCACAACACCTAAACCAGCTTTGTTTAAAATACAGCCCTTTCTATTACGTTTCATGCTGTACCATCCTTAATAGACCATTAAGTCATGCCAGGCTGATTTATGTTGTGAAAACTTCCCAGTTCCGAGTGAAATGAATCATAGAGTCACATTTCACTTAAATGTGAATAGACTACATTTCATTAATGAGAAATTTGGAAAATTCCTGTCAGGTGTCTTATCTGTTTGTCTCTTCTCCAACACAGTAGGGAAGTTAAGATTTTGTAACTTGGTCTCCCTTTACTTGTTTACTTAATTCCAAACACTTGATTTTTATCCAGGTGGCAAAACTGTCCAGCTTTTTACTTCTTTCTGGGAAGATGAGTTATAGCATATGACAACAAACTGAGTAAACTTGACTAACTGCAAAGTAACCGAAATGCAAAGAACTGAATTTTCACTTGGACTTAGTTGAAATCAATTTGCACACTGAGTAGTCCTCTGTCACCTGAATGACTTTTTGAATTATTATTAAAAAAGTAACTGGGACATCAGACAGATCTTCATAGATCTTCTGTTTGAAGGTCTTTTGTCTCAGAGCAGTATGTAACTGCTACTAAAACGAGTGTCCCTGTCAATGGGAATATATGAAACTTCTGGATTCTTCCCAACTATTTTGCTTCTTTTAGCAGCTATTCTCCTGCCCAGCTGCCATAAGAAATACAGCAGAATGCAAAAATGAGAAAATTCATCTGTAAAAACCCATCTAATGAGTGAAATAACGCTAGAAAAGGTCTAAATAGGGATATTATCTTGTTTCCTAAACCCATCTGTTGCAAATCCTGTCAGAAATCTTTTCAAAAGGTTATAAATAAGAGAACATCTATTTTAGAAACGGGCAACGCATTTACTCCTAGCAGCAAAGTCAACCATGATGAATAACCTGGCACAGAGCTGTTAAATTCACCAGCTGCCATCCACCTCGGGCAGCACCATGCCTCATTTTATCTGTGTAGTCTATACCATTTGTTAATAGCTGCTTGAACCAAAGATGGTCACTGGCAACCCCACTCCTGAATTTTCGCTCAAGCTGAAATTTAAATAAAAATATCACACCTAACAGAATAGAAATATTTGAAACAGCCAAAAACTCACCAGAAAACGAAAATTATTCCACTTGCAACCAGAATTACAATCCTGGAACATTAAAAATTTCTCTACTTTTCAGTGACAAGACATTGTAAAAAAAAAGAATTGTTTGGTCTTGTTTAAAGCACAATAAAGACAAAGCATGTCTGCTTTGAATTAGAGACAGTGATGAAAGGTAGAAATACCCAGATAATTCTCCGGTGTCACGAAAGAATATAAACTTTTAAATAGCTCCCCTACACTTTAACAAATACATAAATATATAAATATACTTCTGTTAAAATGTCAATCTCCTAGAGAGCTGTGAGCTTAATAACATTAAGTAGTGTTTGCTTTAGCTTCCTTTCGGCAAGGAGAGGTATTTTTGCTCTGCCTTCCAGTTAACTTCCTGAATAAAAAAAAATGCTACAAATGTTATTTGACTCACCATTCTTGTCAAATGACAATTTTAACAGAGGATCACGTGGGTTTCTTGGTGGAGAGGGAAGCTACTTTGGCTTGCCTTACCAGGTTTTAAATTTTAAAAAAACCCAAACAGGTTAGGTAGCTGCCTGCTTTGCCTGGCCTTGAGTGGAACAGAGCTATGAACTGTAGAAACAGTTTGATTTCAGGTATTTAAGCACAAAAGTCCATAAAGGTAGACACTATCATTGTCTGCAGGTACAGGATCTGATAAAAGTGATTGGCAGACACCGATCTGCTCCTACACAGCAATCACGACATACACACTTGTATGGGAGTTCTGTATGCCAATATCTTTGGGGTTGGATTTATTTACTCAACAATCTTTTCACAAGTCATAAAGGTAATTTTGAAATTAAATAATTTCACCCATAGAATAATTATTTTCAGATCAACCACTCTAATTTTAGCTTCCTGAATAAATTACATAAAAGAATGTTCTCATGCAACAAAATAAAATAGCCTAGACAGGGAATATGTGAAATTGAGCACAGCATGATCACACAAAGGGATCATATACCTGGACATAAAGTAACTGGAGACCAAGAGCTGCTGTATAAGCTTTGGAGATGGAATCAGGGATGACTCAATGGCCTGAAAAGTCTTAAAAAAGAATCAGTGCTCTGAAATGAGACACCATCAACACTGCTGAAACCTATCATTTTCTTGTGAATCTCCAGTCATCTGTTTCATGGGGCTTTCACACAGCCTGAAACAGTCTCTACTTTGTGATATTTTTTTCCTTGCCTTTTTTTTTAAGAACCAGCAAAGTGAGAAAAATACCTAGAAGTAAAATAGTTTTAATCTTACGGCATTTCTTAGTGCATGAAGAAGCAGCATCCCCTGACATGAAAGATTTACCTTAAAAGCACACTAAATTTATACTCCACTTTCTAAGAAAAGGAAAATTTTCTTGCAAGTTTACTCCATCTTTACCCTGCTACAACCCCTTGGGAATTAATTTCTTAAGAACCAGCGTAATGCCAAAGCAATACAGCAGTGATTTGGATTTAAAGCTTGCTATCAAAACCCCAGGTGGAGAAGAGTGAATTTCTATTCTGCACAGGGAATTCTCCGGGCTTGGATAAGCCATGCTGTGACTGTGGAGGTATTTGACTCTGCTCTGTGTTTGCTAGTTCAAGCAAGCTAATAAGATGGGATCACCTTAGTTCTGGAAACAGAGGCCTAAGCTGGGTTTTATCTTTTAATTACTCCAACCTTTCTTCCCCTAAACTTGGAACAGTGAAGAGCTGAGACAACTTCAAACTCACAGACTTTAGTCAAACACATACCTAACAAAAGTTTTGACTAAACAAAAAAAGATCAAGCCCCTCAGCAATCTCCATAAACAGCAGTACCAACTTTTTACACTAATCCAAAAAAATCAGAGTAACTATATTATTCTGAAAGACACACTTAAACACAAACTATAAAAATCAGAGGGGGAGGGTAACTCATTAAAACTAACTCCATACAGGCACAGAATAACCATCCATGAAAGAATATTAAATAGTATGTTCAGGATATTTCTGAACACCAAAAGTGAATTTCAGCTACTGACAGTTGCAAAATTTCCATTATGCTTGGCTGTATTTTTATACATTTTCACAATTTCAAAGGCATAGGAAAATTTTCAGTGGGAGAATGAAAAATTCAGAGGTTGTCTTCCTCAGGACTTGTTTTTCAAAACAGTCTGCATCCTATATGGTGCACTTCAAGCTGCACTCCAAGATGACCCAAAGGCAAAAATCAATGATGAACTTTCTTAAGAAGTACAGAAATCTACTCCATCCCCTCTTTGATTTCAGGACCACTTCATTTCAGAGCTCTTTGAAAGACACAAGAAAGACGGGACATGCAAAGCCTGCGCTGTTACTGCTGTGCAATAAAAGCATGATGAGCTGATGGTTTTGGGCCTGGTAGAAGCTCACCAAAGTCAGTACAATCCTTTCTCTTGATTTCAATGGCTTTTATACCAGGCCCACAAACAGACCATTAAAAACATCTAAATGAGTGATTTTGGCTCAGTATCACCACACCCACCCCTTTTCTCTGATTGGCACTCGTTGGTGATTTGGCAAAATGAGTTTATACACGACACAGCAGAAAATACAAAGATCAGAAACAGCACTTTGTCAGTCAAAATCACTTGCCTGGTGTTAGACAGTTACAACTATTAAGCGCTGGCTGCTCATTTCAGCCAGTTAAATGCTGTTGCAAATGAAAGATGAAGCACTGCATGAAGCCATGCTAAAATGGATAGAAGGATGGTTACTTACCAACGGGGCGAGCTGTTGACATTACAATGGTGTAGTGAGAACATAAAAAAGAAATTAAAAAAAGAAAAGAATATCTGTCAGAATGCATGACGTGTAATGTTACCTTCCACTATGGATACTACCATGATTGCTAACCCCTCAAATGACAGCCTAAGTAAAAATGTTTACTGTTGTTATTGTCCAGTCACGTGCCACTATTATCCCATTTACTTGAGCACAGCATCTGAACAAGCTGACTGGAAACATTCTCTGAGAAACATTTTTATTATCTTCGCATGCCATCATCAAGTATCATTGTTAATGCCTGATAAAAGAAAAATTGCATTGCATTAGCACAAACTTTTAGAGCCCGATGAACACATCAGTTTAAGCCGCACACTGCCGAATGTCATGCCAGTAGATGCAAGGCCTTTGTTTTCTGAGACAAATACCAATTGAATTTTAAGCATGACCAGTCAGTACAGCAGTAAGGGCTACAGAAAGCCCAGGACAGTTTTTCTCATTCAATAAGGACATGAAAGCTTACAGCACAGGTTTTTTTTTTTCCTCACTGACATTGCTGATGAAAATATAACAAATAGGCTGAAATGGCCGCAGGGACTTCAACCCAGAACCTCCCAAACCACTCCTTAGGTAACTTCTACTTCCTAAAAAAATCGCTGCTAAATGATAGACAGGTTAATACTGTTTCAGGTTGATATCAAGATTGAAAGTTGCTGCTGCAACAAGTGATTTCTCGATTATAGCAACAGCCCTTCATTACACTTGTGCTAGGGAATAGGGCTGCCAGTCCCTTGTTAATAAAATATAGACATCCCTTTCAGAGAAGCTGAAAAGTTGTACATAAAATTGACTCCAGGTTACATCTGTGTAGGCAAAGCTTCCCTTGTTTCAGCAGCAGAAATAGTTACACATTTCTGAGCAACAGCACAATTTTTTTTTTTTCTTTTTTAAGAAGATTACCAAGTCTATGTGCTTATGTGCAGGCTAGGGTCAAACATAAGGCATGCAGATTCAGAGGTAACAGAGCATGCAAGGACCTTCTTAGTTCCAATCTTTCCATGGCTCTATCCCTACTTTGGGATATCCATTTCATTTAACTGTTTCGAGCCTGCTGCCCTTTCTCACCCGTCATCTATTGGAACGCTTTTTGGCTTTGAGAATTATGAACATATTCCTCCTTCTGCAGAAAGATGAGGTGTAAGCGATACGCATCTTTCCAAGAGAGGGCATGAACTCAGCTTCTGGTGTTGTTTGTGACAGTGTAATTCAACCTTCCTATCTGGGAGCTAAGGATTGCACTGCTGTCAGGTTTTCATATGCAACCACCTGGCACCTGCAAGGACCAAAAGGCACCCTTAAGGTAAATTTTGAAATGCTACGTGTTTTTGCTCCTCTACGTGGCAAGTGGTTACAGTAAAAGTAGTGTCAGATAAAACTGTGGGAAGTTGAAGAATTCAGAATTAAGACTTAAATTAAAAAGACCATTGCTCATGGTCCCTTTAAAGTCAAAGGGAGTTTTCCTAGTCCTTTGTTTTCAGAAAATTCAGAGTAATAGACTTCTCTGGTAAATGTCTTCCCTTTTTTCATTTTCTGTCATCCCCTGAACATTCAATAAGATCATAGTATCATGGCTTCCTCAGAGTTGTATAAATATTATGTATTTGACTGTAAAGGACAAACCCAGGGGGAAAAATACTGCTTTTATGTGGGAAATATAAATAATAAGACAATAAAGATAATAAAAATCTGCTTTTATGTCGGAAAATCGATTAAATTATATATTTCCTTGGGATTTTTTTCCCCCCCCACTTTTCATCGTGTTCAAGCTTGGGTGATTTCAAAGGATTTTTTATCTCGGTTCTAACTATTGTTTATATCACAAGTCTGGGTAGCAAACCTGAAAGGCTTGCTCCAGTAATGGATACAGTGGACACAGTTCCAGGGGTGTTTAAAGGCTAGTGAATTGGTTACCAGATTTATGGGATACTGTGATCCTGCCTGTGACAAAGGAACAGAGTGAGACTATTCCTGGGAGTTCGCTGTGGTGACTCTTTTCCTCATGTTCCAATACAGAGGAACAATCTCTTACATAAGCAGGTAAACCTATTTCTTCAGCTTAAAACTGGAAGAGCTGCATTGTCACTAATGGTTTAAAGTGAACACTGAGGCAGTATTTCAGCAGATAGATTATCACAATACTCTCTTTTCTTTGTTACATACTAAGATCTCTCCCCCTACAAAGACACTCGGTGCCTTTTTTTTTTTTTTTTTCCTTTGAATTCAGCAAATTAAACTGAACTGTGTCCATGCATTAAATGGATGGAAATGGAAGCTGGCCTCTTGGGTCAGTTGACCCCAGTTCTAATAAAGCAATCCATTGAGACTTTGAACATTTGATTTAATGTGTATGAAAAGAAGAGGACAGATAAAGCTAAAAATGTTTTTATTAACCTTTCACAGCTCTACTGAAAACCGTCAGCATGCACCACTAAACTGTGAAATAGTGTCTGCATGATATCCATTGTGCCAAATTGCTGCTTATCTTTTGGTATGTAGTAATAACTATTATATTCTGTTTACTCATATGGAAATATTAACCTACAAACTTTTTCTCTCCCCATAATCTTTAGCATGTCTGTATCTACTGTCACAAAAAATATTTTGTCAGCTCATTATTCTACCAGCCTTAAAGCCTCCTTACCAAATCAAACAGCAGCACATAAACTCTGAGTGGGTACTACAGACCACAAACACTTTAAGAGAGAACATGTTAGTCTTTACCTTGCAATGCTCACAAAATTTAATTAGGATTTTCCCTTTCCTTTGGCTACAGTTTATCTTGCAGATAAAGGGTAATGGTAGAGAGTTTAATTATAGAAGAGCTAATCATATAAAAATATTATCTGCATGGTGTTTGCCATTAATATAGTTACAATACTCCTTATACCTCTTAAAGAAAGAAACTTGAATAATGGCCTGAACTGATGGCTCACATATGCCCACGGTTATGTGGTGCTTGCTTATGCATGTATATGCATCTGTTCTTCAGTAAAAACACATTGGAACAGTTCTTTAACTGCAGGGACTTCCTATCCCATTGAAGCCAATTAAAATTTTGCCTGAGCCATCCCCAGGACCAGGATTTTACCCGCGATGTAAATTCAGCGCCACGCCCGCGGTTGCAAAGGGCAGGTGAAACCCAACCAGCGCCAGGGGAGGATATGGCCCATTCCATCAGGGAACAGTTTATCCACACAGGACACAGGCCCTCCCTCCGTGGGAACGCTCACCTCGCACAGTGAGGGTAGCAGAGGCTTCCACTTTTCCGACTCTGTTCTCAGCAATGCAGGTGTAGGTTCCTTCGTCCGTGCTCATGGCTTTCTTGATGCGCAGGGTGTAGTCGTCTTTGATGTCATACCTGTGTGGCACAAAAAGAATGAAAACCCGTTTTGCGGACAACGGAAAAGAACAAAAACCACCACCTGGAATGCGCCACTCGGAATCTATCTTGGAGCCAACTTTGGAAGATAAATTATTATCTAGCATTAGATGATTCCACCAAGCATTAATCTTCGTGACGTCTTTATTGCACTCTGCATTAGTTAGAAACTTTACATAAAATTAGTTTTGCTATGTTCACTCAGTATTAGGGCTTTATTAATAATATCATTCACTTTGTCCTTGATCTAGAGCAATAAGATAAAATTAAGCTATCAGACATCAGTTATCAATACATGACAGCTCAGGTTTATCATGCCTTTAAACTGTGAGAGCTACACGTTTTACCTTCTGCTGATTTGGAAATTTCCCTTTATATACAGTTTTTCCCTACAGCAGCAATCCCTTAGGGAACCATGAGCATGTTGGTAGAATCTCACACTACCCGACTGCAGACAATAAAAAATATATTCAAGCTCTGGGATGTGACATTTATTGAAGAGGCACATTAAAGCAGATTTATCAATATCACAGAAATACCCCAAAATGATTCATTAAGGGAGGAAAATAACATTTTCTCTTTCTTAAAACACATGAGAAACAATTCAATTACGCTTTGTCCATTTCTTTGTTTCTCCTGTTGAAATAATTCTAAAACTATGAGGATGTGTAAAACGTGAATTAATACAAAGCATTCCAACACGCAGCGAACATTCATTCTCAAGGCATTTAAAGTGCTTATACCCAGGAAAATATTTTCAGTTAAATTGTTATTATCCTACAGAAGTCATGCTTAACAAACTATTTTAGGCTCTCATCCAAAGCTCAATAAAGTCAGTGGGAGACTTCATCTTGTATGAAATGTATTTGGTCCCCAAATCAGGAAAACCCTGAATTTTAGCATGGATGTTTTGATCTTGAAATACTCTCTCATAAAATTATTTTGAACAACATTTCTTCTTCACATAGTAAGCCCACGATACATTAAGTCACCTTGAATTTGAAGATGGCTTCAGGTACTCATTTACCAAACAGTGAAATAGGAACGTGAAACTAAAGAAAGATCAAGACTTCAGGAGATGCCAATACTATTTCTCACTGCATTCACAATTGTGACACAACTTCAGAAGGACTGATTTACCTTCTCTTTGCTCTTCAGTAAAGAACTTACAGACTTGTTCATATGGAAGAGCACCCTTAAAAGTTTTGATGAATAAGAAAACAATGCAATTACTTAGAGGAACATTGTCAGGCTCTATGAGGATTTTTAAATGCTTTGGGAACGTGAAACATAACTTTTTTTGTACATAATATAAATTGCTATTGGTTCGTTTAATACAGATTTCTAGAGAGAACACTGTGTGCTAACAGACTTTAAAATGTCTTAACTCAAAGGGTCTTACATGTTGAAGCATTTAATGGGTCTGTTAGGTCTAATTAAATATCAATTACAACATTACTAACAATTCCAAGAATAAAGAGCAGTCAAGACATCTTTTCACACTCACTACAATACAACTTCATTCTGTATTCAGTAAGTCTATTCTATTAATTGGTAAGAAATAATTTTAAAAAGACCAAATTGAGGTTAACCATTCTGTCAGAGTTAACACAAACACCCAGGAGTTACACTTAATTGTATGTACATCAGTATCTCAGGTTTAAGTAACAAGTAAGAGATATGTCAAGAGGAAGAATAAGGAGATGCCATGGAAAACTTCAGAAACCTGTAGGGATATGAGGTTTTTGCCACTATAATGCCATTGTGGGGGGAAGTCATGATGCTAGAAATACTTAACCTGCAGTTTCTGGAGCACTACAGATCTACTGCAACTAGGTTCAACAGCCACAAGCAGTTGAGGAACATTTCTTCTTGACTGCTCACAAATTATGTCATTTTGCATGCTGTGCTGCATTAGTCAATGGCAAATAGGAATCACTGTTTACATAAGAGAGAAAATGCAAATTTTCCCCCCTTGAAAATCTCAAGGATATGACAACAGTATCCCACACTGATGGAGCAGTTACTCGTCCTTGGCGACCGCAGAGTTGCAGACAAGAGAAAATGCTTATTTTCTTGACATGAGGCCAGCCCTAGGAGTCTAAAAACATACATTTGTATTCAGCTCCTGCAAGATGAGAAAACTAAGATCAGTTGTAATATAAATATGAATTGGATATAGGAATCAGAGTTATAAAGCTGGGCAACAATTAGTCATTGATTTTTTAAAAATTTTTTTGTTAAATAGGACAAATAACATCCCTGCGGTTCCCTCAGCGCTGCCGAGAGGAAAACAGACAGGCAGCAGGACTGCATCTGACTGAGGGGTTGCTTGAACTGGGATGTAGGAGGGCTGGGACAGGGCCCTCCAGTCTGCCGTGGGCTGCAGCTGACTTGCTCCTCTCCCTGTCCCCGATGTGCCGGTGACGGCATGCCAGCCAGCTGCCTTGGAGGCTCGGGCAGCCTTTCTGCCTGCACCTGCCAATCATGCAAATTGTGCAAAGGCTGCTGGGGGAAGGAGCCAGCTGCATGGCATGCCAGGACGCAGAGCAAGGGTGCAGCCATCATCTCCCACTTGGGCCGTGAAACGGAGGGTGGCGTAAACATGTCGCTCTCACGGTCCAGTTATCAATTACTTCAAGGACAGGTTCAGCTCTCCCAGTCTGCTTCTCCAACAGGACCATACTGGGTTTTTGGACCACCCTGACAGAATGTGCCATCTAGCAATTAGATTCATGCATAGATGGACCCGTGGGACATTATAACCATCTGCTGTGCTGAAGTATTGATACGCTGCCCCTCAGTCATCTGTTCCACCCTCACTGTCCCCAGAAGTCACCACGGTTCAGTGAAGTGCTTTGACAGACGAAGCAGGCAGGAAGAAAACTGGCTTCTAGCCTGATCCACTGCAGCACAAGAAGCTTGTGCAAGAAAGGGACCATGAAGTAACAAGGAGTGAAGACTGTTCAGCATCCACCTATGTAGCCTTGAGCAGTGTCTTGTCTCCTCTCTGTCCCACAGCCTCGTATTACCCTAGTGAGGCATTTTCACCTGAGTTTCTGTGGAAGTTCACCCTCACCTGGATTAGTACTACTGAACACTTGGGAATCAGGATTAGGGCCTTTCTCTTTGCTGCTTCCAATCACAGAGAGAGGTTACCCACCAGGCTCCTGAATTGACGATGGAATGGCAGAAAACCAGAGTGTAGTGGTTAAATTGCTCCTCAGCATAGGCAGTGCACTAAGAAGGCAATGCCTTCAAAATATGTGCAGTGTCAAGAAACAACTTTTGACATATTGCCCAAATATTGCTGACTCCCAGCCAATTAATGCTAACATTGAGCTAAAACCATGGGGTGTCAGACATCAGCTTCACATATTTATGGCCATCTAATTGATTTTAAGTACTTCTCTTTGTTAAACATTCAGAGGTGCTTCACCATTCAGTTTAGCTTAGCCTTCAGCCATCAGACTGAGCTGGGAAAGGTCTTTTAAACAGCCAGTCAGTCTGTGTCAGATATGAACCAGCCACTTTTGGGCACCACGTTAAATAATTTCTGTTCTACAAGTAACAGAGCAGGTCTGCCTTTAATTACCTGAGAAGGAAGGGGCTGGCAGGGGACTGGCAAGGAAGAAAGAAAGAGAGAAACAAGAGGCAGATGAGAAAACACTGCTGGTGAGGAAATTCTAATAGAAATTGGGTGATTTTGAGTGAAATCTGGCAGTCTCTGGCACATATGAATGCATTCATTGTTGCTAGTTTTGATTAATGACAGTTGTACAATAGTGTGCTGACAGTCACTGCCATACAGACACAATTTTTTTTGATATGAAACACTGCTGAAAATGCAACCCAATCAGATTTGGCCCTGAACAACATGTGCTATCATCACTGTACCGTGAATTGAGATTGATTGGTAACCAGCTGTGACAAAGTGGGAAAAAGAGCCTTGTCTTTTTCAAGAAAAGAAAAGAAGAAAAATAAAAAACCGAATTGTGTCAAAACCATTACCATCTGCTCAACTAAATAACAAATAAAACAAAACACATTGACTGTTTTTAACTATCACAAATTAACGTACTGAGGTTGAATTAACGTATTGACTTCAGCATCTAATAATAAACTTGAATTGAACTGGTTTTGTCACAGTTATAATCCCTCCCCCCATTCAAAAGTGTATCTGTTCATACTCAGTCACCAATCTTCCATCGTTATCAAATAAAAAAAGAGAAAAAATTTACTGAACTTAGAGATTTAGCAACATGTTTGTTTGGGTTTTCTTTTGCATTTGATATACATTTTCCAGAGTGTTTCACAGAACCTCTAGTTTCCAGTTTTTCAAAAATGTGCAAGCAGCTATACAAAAAAAAATATTTGCACTTCTTTTGCCTTTAACATGCACAGGTAGCAAAAATGTGTCTGCAGTTGGAGTAATTACATTCCTAAATAACCAAGTAGGCCTAACTGTTAATACAAGAATCTACTTGCATTAGCAGTGTATTTTAAACGTGACAAAATTCATTACTAAATTCAACAAATCCAACTCAAAAAGTCTTATTTCTTGCTAAAGGGAGCTGGCAAGAGGAAAAAGTCACATCTTAAGTGTTGCAAATGATGTCACGAGCCTCAAAAAACTGAAATCTGTTTATACCAGGCGTCTATTTTTTTAAAAAAACATTACTGTAAATAAATAAAACAAAATGAGACAAAATAAAAATAATCGAATCTTTGTATGAATGCATTGTAGGCTTTGATTTTTTTTTTTTTTTTTGTTTAGAGATGGCACAAAAATGACTTTGCTCTATTTCCTTTTGCCTGTTTGCCAGACTATTTTGCAAAACACGCACAAAGCTTCAAGATAATTCACAACATCGATGATTAGGGAGCCCAAATAGAGAGTTGCTACTGGCCAAAACCAGAGTAAACAGGAGGTAGTTAAGGAGGCTTAAGCTTCTGTCTGCACTTCTCTTTTGTGGTGC